AATATATGTTTTGAATTCTATCTGTCTGAAATTATTTTTTTAAAAAAATTTTAAAAAATTCTTTTTAATTTATTTATTTAATCATTTTAATTGCTAAAAGCATCATTTGTTTCTATAGTTTTAATCTTTTCTTAGTAATAAAAATTTAATTATTTAACTATAAAAATTATTTAAATAGTTTTAAAAGTTTTTTAATACTAGTCAATAACAGACATTAAAAAAATTCCTGAAGGATGAATTTTATTTACTTAACATTGTTAAATTAGAAACCTTTAGTCATGAATTCGAATCCTATGTTGGAATAAGGGTATTTAAGAAATTATTTTTAGAAACCCATAATATTAAATAAATTATGAAGAAGGAAAGAGATTTATTTAAAGAAACTAAAGAACAGAAATCAGAAGAGTGTGGAGAAATCACACAACAAAACAGTTGCATTGTGGTTTGTTATTTAATCTTAAAATTATACTATTTATATAATTTACAACTATTTAAAAAGATTTATTAATTTTACTAAAATCATTTTATTAAAACATCATCTTCTTTTAATAAATTGATTATACTTGTGTCTGTTAATATGATACTACTAACTATTTTCACTAAGAACAAACGAGCAAATAAACATTCTTCTCTAGTCATTTCAGATTTATAATTTGAATAATATCGAATGAATTTAAAGTCTTTAGATAATATAGGTCGACCTATAAAAGTCATTGAAGAATCTTTTTCAAGGTAATTAGTTAGACGTTTGATATTTTCATTCTTTTCAAACATCTTTTTTATTATCACGTCTATTTTTTCAACAATCTGAGCATAATCATTTAAAATTTCACTTTTCTTTCCATTTAATGGGCAATTTTCTTCATCACTCTGTTTTTTAAACACGAATATATTTTTGTACTTATAATATTCAAAATGATCATTAATAATACCGTTGTCCTTGTTAAAATCATATAATTTTATTATCATTTCCGTATATAAATTTTTTATTTCTTCTAAAAAATCTTTTTGCTCCTGATATGTTATTATATCTTCATTCAATGTATTTTTCGTATCACCATTGCATATTTTTATAAATTCACACAAATAAAAGGTTAAATCAGGTATTTCTACCATATTTTGAAATAATAAAGTGT